AGAGGGTGATCTTTGCAGCAACGCTGAGGTATGACTTAGCCTGCAGCACCTTTAGCCTATCTGCAATAGTCGACAATGCAAGGATGTATCGCATGCATACAATCGGTGTGTCTCTTGTGCATCCCAGGATCACCCGCATAGCTTCATTCTGTATGCGCTTCAGTTTCTCTAGCTGACTCTTCGAGACAGTGAGTAACCCCAATTTATAATCAATCACTGAGATGATTTAGTGCTGGTAAAGTATGAACACCATTCTCTGCTCCATGTCCATCACTGCCATAATCTTTAATGCATTAAAACCTTTTGGAGCCTTTGTCACAATCTCCTCTATGTGATCATTGAAAGACAAACTTCTTTCAAAGGTGATTCTCAGGTACCGCAGTCTGCTGTCTCTTTTGATATCCCTGCCATTTATTTTGAGTCTTGGAACATCCGCTCAAACAATCCTGTCTAAAGAACACAGGACGGTTGCCTTTTTCTGGGTTGATTACAGCACTCATCTCTGTACACCAGTCGATCACCTTATCTACTGTCGCCTGGAACTCTTCAGCTGATTCGAATCTCTTCCCTTCCTACATACGAGAACATCATCTGCAAATGTCAATATCATGCCCATTCCAGGCATTTCCAAGTATGCAATCTTGCTCGTAAAAACATTGAACAGTACAAGTGAAATTGGAGATCCATTTTGTAGTGCTGGAGCTATAATACACGGTTCAGAGGTCAATGAATCCAGGCGGAAAGCTACCCGGTGAGTATACAAAGCGTCTGCTGTCCAGTTCACAAACCAAGGACAAACTCCCTTCTCCAATAAGCGCTTTCATCAAGATACTGTATCTGACTCCGTTGTAAGCATCTTCTAAATCAAGTGCCGCTGCCACCGTTTCCTGTCTGTTCTGAAACATTCGAAGGTTTCAAAGGCAAACAGTGGCTATCGGGCAAAGTAACGAATGTTTAGGGTCAAATGGAGTGAAGAGAGGTAATCAGGAGGAACAAACTCAACGAGAGAAGGAAAGAAAGATGGAGCATTGTGTCACAATGGTTAAAAGAGATTCTGATATGTGCTGCTGTTTAGATTCGCATCAGTAATGCGCCTCCTTTACTTCTTCTTCTTATTATTCTCTGTCGTCTCATTGATCCAGGTTGTAAACCAGGGTGGTGGTTTTCTGTATTTGTCTTGCGCTTCTCGGGTGGCTTGTGTGATGGATTGGTTCAACCTTTTGCAGGTTTTATCTACACCATTTATCCATCTCTTTCTTTGTCTTTCTCTCACCTTCCTTCCAGATGTTCTAATGGAAAAAAAAAGTCTCACGTGCAGTCTGGTCTGGCTTCATTCTCACTAGATGGCCGAACCAGTTCATTCTTTGTCAATAAATCAAGACATGGTCTCATTCCAACTTTTTCTCTAATGCTGGAATTTGTAACACTGTGTCGTCTAGTATTGTAAGTGACCTTGCATGACCTTTATTTACTGGGTGGTCATCTTTCAGTATGCAATTATATAAACAATTTTTTTAATGTCCCAGGGAAATATCCGAAAAAATACGCATTCGAAACTAAACCTAAATATATTAAAACAAAACAAAAAAACAGTAAAATTATCCAGTATTTTTTATTGCGTTTTATATATATAATTTAAAAATGAACTGGAAACAAGTTTTTTTTTTTTTTTTTTAAAACAATTGGACAAGTGTGGAAGAAACTAGACATTATTAATATTCGAAACGACGAGATGGTCATGTGAAGTTATGTGTAAACAAGCCGTGTTGTGGTTTTCGTGTTAGTTGTCGGGTTGCTTGTTGGTTGGTCATCGTTCAGTGTTTCACATTAATTTCTACAGGTAACTATCGTTCGCTGACTTTTGGGAATCGCTATTACTGAAGTATTGATAGTGGAGTGGTTAGCACGTTGGATGTGCCTGCCAAATGACAAATGTTCGGGAGTTAGAAACAAGTTTAGTATCCCCGACCCCATCGAGGAAGTATCATTTAGTTTTAGTTGTTTTTTTTTAAACTAAAAAAAAAAAAAAATACATTCACAGGTCATATACAAAATCAGGTCCTGTTTACGTTTCCCAGCCCATATGCACACTACCTGACCGTTCATTCATACTTTCTCAGACTCTTCAACGTCTGAGGGGTTCATGCTGTCTTCCCTCTAGTTGCATTAGTGCCGATGTCGCATGTTCGGCAATCCTCCGAATAACGGGCACATATTACGGAGGCCAAAAACACACCCTAACAGGGCCCCAGTTACATGTAAATTGTATCGTTCACCCCATGTGGTTCTGGTCCCATTGTGGGAAAAATAATAAACGTAGGTGAGTTGAGGTTAGGGCCAGTTCTAGATGTTTTCGGGTTGTTGAAAGCATCAGAAAGCCAGGAAATCTAGTCTTATCACCCTCTAAAATGTTGGACTGTCCTATGACGTCATCTGGGGGTAGGATATTAATAAAGAACCAAATAATGGCTACCAGGGTATGATGTAGGAGGTTGGTGATGACTACATCGGTTAGTTTTTAATATCGGGCGAACATCCAATACATAAAATGAGGATCAACTCCACTGCACTGGGTTTTATCCCATGTGGCTCAGTCTCTCCTTGCAGAAGTGCTAGCCACCTGCAGAGAGTGCAGCACAGAGCACAAACTCCATATGTCTGGAGATGATCCCCAGGAATCTCCGTAAAAATTGCTCTCATGAACTTAACGGCACAGTCAAAAAAATTAAATAAAGTAATAAACAAAATATCACTGAAAAAAGTCCGTGTTTTGGCCTGAACTCTGAAAAATTCGTGCTATAAAAACAAAACTGCGACCTTCAGAGCATGAGGCAAACAGCTTGACCTCTTCATCGTGGCTACTCCCTATATCCAGTAGATCCAGCTCATCTGAGCCTCAAGGCGAGGAAACAGATCTTTTTTTTTCTTATCTCTTTCTGCCCTTTCCCCCCCATTGGAGCACAGGTCATCAGTTCACTGACGCCAAATCGTTCTGACCTTTGCTATCGCATGCAGCTCATCTCATGTTCTCCCCATCTTTTTAACTTCACTCCACACCAGGTCTGGTCAAGCTATAGATGTTTGTTTATGTTTACTCGACTGATAAACATCATGGCACAAGGGTAATAACCCATAAGTGCTCCGTTCTACTTCTAACTCAAGCCTGAGTCTGAAGAATCTCAGCGCAGTGCACGAACTCCGTTGCATTGGCGAGGATCCTGAAATACTTTGGATAGATTTTTAACTCCAAAATTTTGCCCGGGCAGCGCCGTCAGGCTACTCTTTTCAATTTCCAACTGCCAATTAATTTTTACATGAGCAAGAATACACACGAGCATCCGATATTACTATCCAGAGACTATGGTAAATTACTAGAAGTCCACCTGAAAAATCTCAGCCTTCACTAGGGTTTGAACCCAGGACCTCCAGCGCTTTAGGTGGACACCATACCTCGAGACCACTCAGCTCCTGGTTGAGCCATAGATGTGTGTCATGACCTGTCGGGGTGCATCTGCCTGAGAGGCAAATAACCAACAGTCTGCACACAAATAAACTAGACCTGTAAAATGGATATTCATGTGAAACTCAAGTTCTGGGTTAGGACCAAAGTCTAGAAGTGGGCAAACAACCAGAACTTTCTGTCAGAGTTTACATTTAGAGAACACTGGGAAGGAGGAGGAGAAGAAGAGGAGAAGAAATGCCTTTGACAACCAAAGTAAAGAATCGAAAAAATATATATGACATAATGAGATCACAGACATAAACAATATTTAACCACAAGAGTGTTTTCCAGGCCACATAGCATAATTTATAGGGAATTGGTCACCCCCATCTTATTATGCCATGACCTGTAGTATTGGAAGTTGCTAAAACTGCACAACATTCTGCCAGGTGACAAGCCAGATCTTTTTACTACTATTAATGATCAACCTGAGTGAGAAAAATCTAGTTAACTTTATCAGTAAAACACAATCATGAATGACAAAAGGAAAAGCTGGATGCTGCAGCCAGAGAGCTTTCACCAGCATACAGCAAAATAAGTCTGTGATCATCATCATCATGAGGTGCCTTGCCTACTGCCATGGGCATTCATGCTTTTCCTCAACCTGCAATCTTCAGCTGTATGTATGAGTTTGTGTGCTGGCACCCACTATTCATGTTAAAAGTTGCCAAGAATCGCCTCACGTTGGCCTCCTCTGTCTATTTTTCCACAGGTCTTTCCAGTAGTCACGTGTTCCAGTTTCCTTCTTCTTGTAGCAAGACAAGATATTGATGACTGTCTCTTTCTATTGTTTGTGATAAGCTGTGTTTAGACCCTCACCCTTTGAAAACCCCCAGGTTCATCTTTTTTTTTCTCCAGGAAATAAGTTTTTTAAAAAGTTTTTCTAAAAAAAAAACCCACATCCCTGAGGCCTCAAGAAATTGTTTGGCTTTTTTATTAATTGTCGAGGATTCACATCCGTATGTCAAAATGTTGAATTAAGAATCGACATAGGTGCTCAATCCCCATCTTCAGCAGCAAGCTAAGAGTTCCAGTTCCGATGCTGCCAGTAACTGTCTGATTGTATATCCACCTCATCCTTTCCCTGAGTGTCGAGCGTCGGCCAGATTCCCTGTTAACTCCTCACAGCGCCATTCTCCTCAGACTGTAATGATCCATCTGCGCCTCTACACTTTTCACCCGTTTCCAAAGGGCATTCGAGTTGAAACCCATATATTAAAACTGTCTCTATAAAGCATGCAAGTAAGACATGGATTTATTGCATAAAATGTGGAATCATTAAGTGAATGATAGAACTAAATATAAAACTACATAAAATTACTAAACTTTTTTCTATTAATATGTGATTTATTTTTTCATAGTGTGAATTTATATACCTTGGTTTGCTGTTTTTGTCAGGGCTGAGCGGACATGCCCTTGAAACCTGGCAGATCAAATTTTATGTGATGCAAAGAGGGCTGGCTGCTGGAAAGAACCCAGAATTGTTGGCCACAGGGAGATGGGAAATTGTTTTAAGTCATCAAGAAACGACAATGTTTCTTTAATTAGAGGAAATGATCGTGCCGATGCTAGACATGGACCAACTCCAGCCAGCGAAGCAAGACCAGTTGCCTATGAAGATTTGGTATGTCATTTGTCATGTTGGTAGTTATCTTGTACGGTTTTTATCATGCAAGATTGGCTGGTTCTGTAAAAGTTGTGGGGGGGGGGGGGGGGGGGGGGGGGAATAAATTGAGGCATTACTAGCTAACAATGATCAAGTCCCCTTTCGAGCAAGTGAATAGTGTGGAAGCACAAATAAATCAGCATGGTCTGGAGAGAATGGTGTCAAACCTTGTGTGGGTTCTTTCCCTATTGGGGAGGGGGGGGGGGAATAGACCCACTGTGTCCCCTTATGGTGTTATGGGACTATGATGATGATGGGTTCTGGAGTCCCCCATCTGGTGGGGGGGGGGGGAGAATAGGCCCACTGCCTCTTAACAGCCATGTTGTAAAAGGTGAGAAAATAAGGATTTGTCATCCTTCAGAGTCAAGTACATCTGCCTGGTTTAGATATTGCAGTCTAGTTTTAAATCTAGATTGGTTTAGATATTGCGGTCTAGTTTTAAGTCTAGATTGGTTTAGATATTGGAGTCTAGTTTTAAATCTAGATTGGTTTAGATATTGGAGTCTAGTTTTAAATCTAGATTGGTTTAGATATTGCAGTCTAGTTTTAAATCTAGATTGGTTTAGATATTGGAGTCTAGTTTTAAATCTAGATTGGTTTAGATATTGCAGTCTAGTTTTAAATCTAGATTGGTTTAGATATTGCAGTCTAGTTTTAAATCTAGATTGGTTTAGATATTGCAGTCTAGTTTTAAGTCACAATGTGCCAACACCTTTTTAAAGGGCCAAAATAAAAAAGAAGATATCCAGTATTTTCTTTAAAAAAAAATGTAATGACTACACTTATGCTTTCTGACCTAAATGATTACAGCCGGTATCTCAGCCATGGATGCCCACCTATCACCCATCGCCTGGGGTCACGAGACCAGCCAGCCAGATGACAGAGGAGGATCAAGTGAAAGTCGCACAGAAGTTAGGCTTGATCAGCCATCTCCCTGTTGGCACTTATGATGGTACTAATAAGCAGGCTAAGGAGTAAGTTGTATATCCTCTCTGTTTCTGTCTGTCCGTCTGTCTGTCTCTCCTACTTCCCCCCCCCTGTTCTCTCTCATTTCCTTCCTTATTCTTATATCATCCTTACCTTTCTGTTTCCTTCCTTTCCTTCTCTTATCTCCCCCCCCCCCTCTCTTTCTCTCTCTCCCATACTTCACTCTTACTCTGGCTTACTGTCTCTCTTCTATCTTATTACTCTCTTCTACACACTCACTCTCTCAACTCCCAATCTTCCCCTCCTTTACCCATGTCACTCTGTCTTCTCCAGTGTTGCCAGCTTGGATGTTTTACATCCAAATTGAGATGTGTACCCTTGCATTTAGATGCCCTTTTTGACATTTAGATGGTAGAGGTTTTTCGATGTTTTTCATTTCGAGTAAATTTTTCAAATCTAACCTAAGAAACAGAATGAAATTTGACCTCTTAAATGCTATCTTGACAATAAAACTTTGCCTGATAAGAGTAGGAAAAGGTTGTTCCACTTATCAGCTCCCTGATTGGGTATTAAAAGAAACTGGAACAGCTAAAGCATACCAGTGTCATTTTGAATCTGAAGCCTCAACTTTGTCATCCAAGCTAAGTTTATCCTACGGATCTTGTAAGGCAGATTTCAGAAAAGATGACATGATTCTATAGGGTAAGTCATATCAATTGCTGTGTAATTTGTGACTCTTTCCATTTGGATGTTTTTTCTAGATGTTTTCCACGCAAATTTAGATGCTTTTAGATATTTTTGACTCTGTTTTGGATGTTTTTTGTCAAAGAAAAGTGGCAACACTGGTCTTCTCTCTCTGTCCATCATCTCTCTATCTCAGCTCTCAGTATCCCCTTGCTTCACCCATCTCACTGTCTGTCTCTGTCTGTATGTCTGTCTCTGTCTGTATGTCTGTCTATGTCTGTCTGTCTCTGCCTATGTTTGTCTGTCTCTGTATGTCTGTCTGTATGTTTGTCTCTGTATGTCTGTTTGTCTCTGTCTGTCTGCCTCTCTTTCTTTTTCTCTAAGTGTTTTTACAGCTCATAATTATTGCCCTGTCTCAGGTGTTCACAGCTTTTAAATGTGACCCAGTCAACACTCTGTTCTCAAGGACAAAATATCTTCATAACCTGCAGTGTGTACAGAACAGTTGTGGTGTATTCAGTTACAAAACTAAATGTTGAGATACATTGGCCAGGAAGTTCCTATAAAACTGTTGCAAAGAAATGCATTTTTTTTGGTGCCTCTGGCTTTCACTTATAAATAAATGACCTTTATTCACTTGAAAAGACACCATATTTATTTATACTTGAACACTTCCTGCAGTGTTTCTTTGTTTGAGAAAATGAACATGCAGAGGCACAAATAGATCATGACAATTTGAAGAGAATGGTGCAGCACGGAGCAGTCAGGGGATCTGGCCGATGCTCAACACTCTGTGGGAATTCAGTCAGTCTGCTATTGGTACCCTGTGAATGTCACTTTGAGCTGTCTTTTCGAGATAGGGACTGAACGCTTATCGGAATGCATGTCCTGAGTTCAGTAATGTCAATTCTTAACCTGTCTGTGCCTCATGTGGGTTCCGGGACCCCATTAGGGGGAAAACAAAAATAGACCCACTGCCTTCCCAACAAGCATGTGGTAGGAGTCGACTAATTGGGAGCTTTCAAACTTCTATGACATGCTTGGTGTCAGGGCAGTGGGTTTATTCTTGTTTTTCCCAAAATGAGGCTCTGGACCCACACAGGGGACGGAGCTTTTGAGACCCACCCATAGTTTGCAACTCACTATTGTGACACATTTTGTGTGTGTTTATTTATATATAATATATATATACACACACACATATAGGCAGGTACTGTATGTATTTCTTTTCTCTTACCCTCTGTTTTGTCACTCTTTAATTCACTCACTTACTCGCTGTCACACGCTTTTCCTCCCTCACATACTCTTCCTCACTCACTCTCTCTGTGGCCTCTCCTCACTCACACTCTCTTACTCAGTCTCGCACTCAGTCACTCACTCACTGCTTCCCTTATTCATTGTATGTTTCCTCTCTCTCTCTCTCTGTCTTACAAAAATAAGAAAGTGAGACAAAGTATTAAACATATCTGAAACATCAGTGTTCTCCTCCCGCCAGGTGTGTGATCTGTATGAATGAGTTTATGCTTGAAGAGCAGCTCCGCTACCTTCCCTGTATGCACATCTACCACAAGGACTGTATCGATGACTGGCTGATGCGATCATTCACCTGTCCCAGCTGCCTGGAACCGGTCGATGCCGCCCTGCTGACATCATACCAGACTGGTTGAATCTGCTGGAAGAATCATCATGTGAACTGTCATGCTTTTTAGGTGCAGAACTTTCTTATGAGAATAAGAAATGCATTCCATATTGGTGATTTCTGACATTTTATAATGTCTCTGCTTGTATTAACCCTTTGAACCCATTATGTTGATTTTTGCTGCTGTTTCTCTACACCTTAAACCCTCTTCAGGACTGTGGGAGATAGGATTCTAGTAATAAACGGCTTTCAAGAGGGATAATATAATAATATAGGACTTTCCACAAGGGAGATAATATTCTAATAATATATGGCTTTCCACAAGGGAGACAATATTCTAATAATATAGGGCTTTCCACAAGGGAGATAATATTCTAATAATATAGGGCTTTCCACAAGGGAGATAATATTCTAATAATATAAGGCTTTCCACAAGGGAGATAATATTCTAATAATATAGGGCTTTCCACAAGGGAGATAATATTCTAATAATATAGGGCTTTCCACAAGGGAGATAATATTCTAATAATATAGGGCTTTCCACAAGGGAGATAATATTCTAATAATATAGGGCTTTCCACAAGGGAGATACAATTCTAATAATATAGGGCTTTCCACAAGAGAGATAATTTTCTAATAATATAGGGCTTTCCACAAGGGAGATAATATTCTAATAATATATGGCTTTCCACAAGGGAGATAATATTCTAATAATATATGGCTTTTCACAAGGGAGATAATATTCTAATAATATATGGCTTTCCACAAGGGAGATAATATTCTAATAATATAGGGCTTTCCACAAGGGAGATACAATTCTAATAATATAGGGCTTTCCACAAGAGAGATAATATTCTAATAATATAGGGCTTTCCACAAGGGAGATAATATTCTAATAATATATGGCTTTCCACAAGGGAGATAATATTCTAATAATATATGGCTTTTCACAAGGGAGATAATATTCTAATAATATATGGCTTTCCACAAGGGAGATAATATTCTAATAATATATGGCTTTCCACAAGAGAGATAATATTCTAATAATATATGGCTTTTCACAAGGGAGATAATATTCTAATAATATATGGCTTTCCACAAGGGAGATAATATTCTAATAATATATGGCTTTTCACAAGGGAGTTATATTCTAATAATATATGGCTTTCCACAAGGGAGATAATATTCTAATAATATATAGCTTTCCACAAGGGAGATAACATTCTAATAATATATGGCTTTCCACAAGGGAGATAATATTCTAATAATATATGGCTTTCCACAAGGGAGATAATATTCTAATAATATATGGCTTTCCACAAGGGAGATAATATTCTAATAATATATGGCTTTTCACAAGGGAGATATTATTCTAATAATATATGGCTAGTGTAGTATAATCAGTAACATTATGGTGAACAAGAGCCGCCATTGTGTAGTGGCTAGATGCTCACCTGTGTATTGGAAAGGACATGGGTTCAGATACTGATTAAGTCAGACTGTTTTCAAAAACAACATTGGACACCTGTCGACCCAGCCTTAAATTGGTACCAGGTAAAGTTCTAGGAAGTAAACTAATTATTGCTTATTGTCGTCCCCACTCCTGAACTTTGGTCTTGCTCCAGAACTTGATTTTTGTATGTATATCCATTTTACAGATCTGGCTTATTTGTATGCAGGCTGTTGGTTGCTTCCTCACCTTCAGGCAGGTACACTCTGACTGAACGAAACACCCCTAATTAGTCACCTCCCATGACCTGTTTGTTAGCGGGGCAATGGGTCTTTTTTCTCCAGAATGGAGCCCCAGAAGCCACACGGGGAAAACCCTAGTTACATGAAAGTGTCATGTTTCTGCGAGACAGTGTTTGTGCTCATTTAAAAAAAAAATAATTAGAAAGTACGCGAGGGAAATCAATAATGGAGTAACAACTGGTTGTTTAACAAAAAACAAAAAACTAAAGATGATAACAGCTTGAAAACTGATTTCTTTTTTGTACATACGCTGTCCCATCGTTTTATCAGTCCTGTCAAACCTGCTGCATAGAACTGCATGCTCTGTTTTCTAAACCACATTTTCACTTCACATTCAACTTCTGCGTCCTTGAGACATTTTTTACCCATTTATCAGCATAAACAGGAAGCATTTCCTTACCTTATGAATGTCCTTTGCAAAAAAGTGCACAACAACATGTTGTTCTTTGAGGGTACAGTTCTTAAGTACAGTCCCAATTTTGTTTCTGTGTTGCAAATGCGCTTGCAACACCTAGCAGCACCCAAAAAATGGAGACATAAAGTTCCATGTTGCTGTCACTTAATGACACCTTTAGAATCCACCAACTACATTTTCCTGCCATCCCGTTACCATTTGTGACTTACTTTTTGACTTCCCCTCATAAGTAACGCTTCTGTTGTGCTCTGAGCTTTAAGACACATTATTTCTGTCTTTCATTCGTAGCTTTGGCAAAGAGAGACAGAGTCATATACATTTATTGTTTTGACTGTAAACTCTTTGAGAGACTTTGAGTTTCTGGTCCATTTAAATATTACTTTTGTTTATTTGTTCTCTTTGCGTTTGTACACAAATTTACTATATTTTTCCATGTATAAGGCGATATGTTTTCAAAGATGTTTGAAGTATAAAATTGGGGCTTCTTATATACAAAATATGTTTAAAATATTCATTCTTTTGGGATTTAAAAATAGGGATCATCTTATACATATGTGTATCTTATACATGGTTAGATATGGTAGGTACATAGATAATATTTTTTTTTTAGAATTCATTGTTGCTAAGTTGAAATTGCATGTAGTGTAACCTAGTCAGTGGCTTATTCAGTTTTAAAATGTTCACTTGTCACAGATGCTTGTAGTCAGAAGTGTGTATTTTATTGTTTTCTTTTGTATTGATTCGGCTCATAATGATAATTTGTGTTTGTTTGATGCGATCACCTCTGCTTTTGATTGGTGAATAATCTGTAAAACAGAAAATCCTGGCTAGCACCAACTCACTTAAGAAGAATGCTCAGCTAACAAGAAAAAATGTTGGTCCCTGAAAGGATGTCTTCTTCTTCTTCTTCGCGTTCACCAGCTGTACACTCTGGCGGAAAGTTCTGGTTGCTCATCCACTACTGAACTGCAGTCCTGCTCCAGAACCTGAGTGTGCATCAGTTTTACAGATCTCATTCTCTTGAATACAGACTGTTGGTTCCTTGTCTCTCCGGCAGATGCACTCCGACTTCAAAGGAAGCTCCCCAATTAGTCGACTCTTACGACATGCTTTTAGGGAGGCAGTAGGTCTATTCTTGTTTTCCCCACAATGGGGCCCCGGAACCCATACGGGGGAGAAAGGATGTGTTATCATTATTAGTTCCCTTAGGGGCTGGCAAAAAGGTTACACCGTCAGGTTCTCATGTGGGAGACCCGAGTTTGACCCCCGGTAAGGTGACGGAGTTTCTCTGTCAGGGGTAGAGAGAACATCCTATCCTGCACAGTCCGTGGCAACAGCGCCAGCAATTCTGCCCTAAATTCTCATGCTCACGCCCCTTCCCCCACCCCCATCTATACTGTAATAAAAAGCGGTAAATTCAGACAGTACTGACAGTCCCCGGTTAGCACACATTTTTATAAACATGATCTGTTGCTTTTGTTGTTGTTGGTCCCTTGAAATTTGTGTTAACGAGGTTTACTGTATTTGCTTTGAACCTGAAATGATACTGTATCTTCTCCTTTTTCTTTTCTCTACTCATGGATTGCCTGATTGCTTCACAGTGTCAGGGCAGGAAGAGCTCTCTGGAACGGGCCCTTCTGTTTGCTTTGTGTGTGGTACTTTTCAATGTCTCTGATATTTCTGCGGTCCATATTCTGTGTGGTCAACCTCTGGATGTTACCGCTGTATCTGTACAACATTTCTGTCTGTGGTGCCTTGTTAGATGGCCAAACCATTTTATCTGTTGTCTACAGATATAGCTCAGTATTGGTTCTGTGCTGACTCATCTCCTGATATCACAATTCCTAAGTCGATCTTTCATTATTACACCTAGCATAGTACGTAATTTCTTTTCATTTCTGCCATAACTATTTGCCTTCTGTCCTCTGAGGAAAGTGTCCATGTTTGACATTGATAGCGTAGTATGGTAAGAATAATTCATTATATAATGTGCTCTTGTGTATTAATTACTTTAGCACATTAATTATTTATATTTTTTATACCACTGAAAGATTCACGGAATTAAGTATATTTATATAAATATATATTGTTGTGACATATGTTCTATATTGGTAGGTATCCCCATAACCAGGTTTCTGTTAGATTTAAAATGTGGCCATTTATGTGGCTTTTTATTTGGTTGATTGAGTGGTTGTTTGGGTGAATGGTTTGGTGGTTAGTAGTTTGGGTGACTGGTTTATTTGTTGTGGGATTGGGTGGGTGATTGGTTGGATGGTTAGTTGGGAGGTTGATTGGTTGAATGAATGGGTGGTTGGATGGTTAGTTGGGAGGTTGATTGGTTGAATGAATGGATGGTTAGTTGGGAGGTTGATTGGTTGAATGAATGGATGGTTAGTTGGGAGGTTGATTGGTTGAATGAATGGATGGTTAGTTGGGAGGTTGATTGGTTGAATGAATGGGTGGTTAGTTGGGAGGTTGATTGGTTGAATGAATGGGTGGTTGGATGGTTAGTTGGGAGGTTGATTGGTTGAATGAATGGGTGGTTAGTTGGGAGGTTGATTGGTTGAATGAATGGGTGGTTAGTTGGGAGGTTGATTGGTTGAATGAATGGGTGGTTGGATGGTTAGTTGGGAGGTTGATTGGTTGAATGAATGGGTGGTTGGATGGTTAGTTGGGAGGTTGATTGGTTGAATGAATGGATGGTTAGTTGGGAGGTTGATTGGTTGAATGAATGGGTGGTTGGATGGTTAGTTGGGAGGTTGATTGGTTGAATGAATGGGTGGTTAGTTGGGAGGTTGATTGGTTGAATGAATGGATGGTTAGTTGGGAGGTTGATTGGTTGAATGAATGGATGGTTAGTT